AGGCAGAGATGGCTCTGTGAGTACAATCTGGGCTGTGGTCGGGAAATTCAGATAATCTCCTTTCCTAACCACTATTCCTTTACGCTGGTGGAGAACTGCAAAGTGTCTCAGCCATTCTATTGTTACTTCAGGTTTTATTAGTCATAAACTGTTTTAACAATCAGTTCAACCCCAAATGGTCCAGATCCAATTATTAGACTTTAAAAAATCAAAACGTAATCTTTGGACTGTACTTATGTCTGTGTCTATACTTTTTTTTCTGTAGGTTCGAGCAGGAGGTTCTTGGTGGTCCAGTGTCAGGAAGCCCACCAGTTATGGAGGCAGTACCTATTGCTCTCGCCGTCCCAACGGTTCCACTTGTGCGACCCATTATAGGCACCAACACCTACAGACAGGTTTGTACTATTTTAATGACTGAGTGGACAGTCATATACTATGCAGCTTATCGTAGTTTTGAAATGTTTACATCCAGATGCTCTCTTGTCTGTCTCCTCTCATAGGTCCAGCAGACATTAGAGGCCAGAGCTGCTAGTTATGGTGGTCCTCCACCTCCGGTCTTCGTGGGACCAGGTAAACATAAACTCCTGCACCTATACACTACCCAGGGTTTGGCAGTAAGATAAACCATGTATCCAAAACTGTTCAACATCATTCAGGCTCATTTAAGGTTTAGGGTTTTTATAATACTGTCATCTAATGGTTTGGAATGATACAAATAGTTTGTGCCATTTTCTCTATCAGTCTGCACTCAAACTATAAAAACATGTTTTTACAAAATTTGTGCACATTTTTTTAATGAAATCTATTGTTTGCAAAAGTACTATTAATTCAGTACTTTGTAGAAGCCATGAACAGCTTCCAGAGCTCTTGGTTTGTTCTCTACAAGCTTCACAGTTTATCACACTCATCCTGTCAGATTATCTCAGGCTCAGACTGGATGAGACGTGTCTGTGAACTGGACACTGGGCCATCTCTCCCTCCGTTGTCACCAGTCTCCCCATCTCTGCTGCTGAGACCGTCGCAAACAGTTGTCTTAGCAAGTGTCCAATTACTTTCAAACCGCTTAAAGCTACAGATATCGATATATCAACCAGTGATACATGAATAATACATTTATACTGTAGGTTGTTGGTTCATTTGTAGTTGGGATGACAGGTTTTGCTCTGTGTTTTTCTACTTCTGTCTAGATACAAATAGTGTGTATAAATAACAAAAATGTCATGCTGGATTCTGTTTCCACTAACTTTACACTTTTTATATAACACTAACTGTGTAACTTGTGTCTGTCTCAGTCCCTCCAGTACGTCCTCCCCCTCCTCCCATGCTGAGACCAGCCTTTGTCCCACATATCTTGCAGAGGCCTGGTAAGTTACCAGCAGACTACTAGTTTACTGGTTAATCATTATTAGCATTATTACCCTGTAAAATATTTAAGGCAGAAACGTTATGGTAACTTTATTTTAATTGTTGATGGGACATGTTTGTATCTGTGAGAAGGGTCATCATCAGACATGCACTAGAAGTACACAAATAAATGCTTGTGCTGTTAGAAATGTCCCCAACAAAACATGTACATGTGTCTGTGCTGACAATTCTTCTGATGTGATTGAACAGTGAACACACATAACGTGCACATTTACACACATGTGAGTTCATGTTTCAAATTAGGAGGTCGGTGGACTACACATATTTTAAGGAATTCAAAAAGCTGTTTGATTCAAATCCCTTTGACACAGACTGCTAAAGAAACATTATGTCTGCTCTCTAAAAATCAGGTTCACATCCAGATAAAATGTGAACAGACACATGTTAATACCAGGTGTAAATGGACTTTCTCTGTCTCTCAGCTCACAAGCTTTAAAGCTGTAAAGCAGGTACAGTCAGGTGGGGGTTTTCTTTTCTTCAGGAAAAATAACTTTGGGATTTTACAAGCATTATTGGTTATTTCTCAGTTTATGTCCCTTTAAAGAGCCATTAGGTGACGTGAATGACCTATAGTGGTAGAATATGGTTGAAGGATTGTCTGTGCAGGAAGGTGCTGTGTCTGGTTACCTGCTCATTGTGGTTTGGGCTGAGGGGGGGAATTCACTCACTATGAAGGCTGTTGAGTTAGTTGATAACCAATAAATCTAATATTGGTTGTCTCTCGAGGTTCACATGTTTAATGTCCTGTTGTCAGTTGGTCCGAGGCTGCATATGATGCGTGGTCCTCCAATTGCGCCTCCGCTGCCCCGGCCTCCTCCACCTCCTCCCATGATGCTCCCTCCTTCCATGCAGGCCCAGACACCTCAGGGTCCTTCTCAGCCCATCCAGCACATGGCTGGCCCACCTCAGGTCAGAGCTCAGAGAAGTGACAGTACTGGGGGGGGGGACATCATTGCTGATTGTTTTACACATTAATTATCTTGTGATGAGTGTGACTGACCTTATCATTACAACTGTCCTTGCTGCCCCCTTCATGTATTTCTGTATAAATACTCGAAACATTGATACAATGGACCATACAAAATTATATTTGATTGATTTAAAGTTGTCGTGTGTCTCACTCAGGTCGGTGATATGGTCTCGATGGTGTCAGTCCCGACCACAAGACATGGACCTCCTCCTCCTGTCAAACCGACGCAGTCGATTATCCAGGCGGCACCGACTGTATACTCTGCTCCTCCTGCCCCAGTTGGACATAAAAGAATTGACGTCAGAGCTCAGAGACAAGCCAGAATGGTATTTATATTGTTATTTTCTAAAATGATGTTCAGGTGCTCTGCTACGTGTATGGTCTCTCTCCTTCTCTGATTACTATGTCACTGGTGTTGCCTGTATGTGTGTTTGAACATGAGTGACAGTATCAGTACATGACTTTTGTTGTTTGTGTGTATTTTAAAATGTGATATACTTGAGAAAATTTGAGGACAATGGGAAAAAGTCACACTATACTGTAAAATGACTAATGTAATATTAACAAGGTTCTGGGGTCATTGTTTGTAACTGACATTGAAAAGGGGGGGCAGCTTTTCATCAGCCTTTCTGAGTCTGTGTGATGTGGATCTTCCAGGAGGAGCTGGCAGCCCGGGTTGCAGAGCAGCAGGCTGCAGTGAGGGCAGCAGGTCTACTGGACAAGAAGGAGAGTGACGACAGCACAGTCATTGGACCCAGCATGCCTGAGCCTGAGCCCTCCCACTCTGAGGTACATGAACAATCTATATCGTGTTCACTCAGAAGCTTCACTCAGAACTACAGACATCATATGACTTGTGTATGCGTATGTTTCAGCCCGCGGAAAGCTCAACAGAGGACAAAAAGAAGGTGAAGATGGAGAAAGTGAAGAAGTGTATCCGTACCGCAGCGGGGACGAGCTGGGAGGACCCCAGTCTGTTGGAGTGGGAATCAGGTACAGTGCTACTGCAGGGAGCTGAGGACCCTCACAGAAAACCACCTCACACTGCCCATAGAGAACCACTGTGATCTGCTGCTCAAAGAAGACTCACTAACAATCACATGTCAGCACGTTGACCTGTGTTGTTTTACCATCATCCATAACAATCTAAGACTCTGTCATGGCAACAGCATCTGTGTTCCATTCAATCAAAATTGTTAAGTTGTGCTCCCGCTGCAGATTGGACGTTACATTGTCCGTCTCTTAAACACTCTTGTAATGTTTGTGTAACTGTTTTCTCTCCTTGTTGCAGATGATTTCCGTATATTCTGTGGTGACCTTGGTAACGAGGTCAATGATGACATACTGGCCAGAGCCTTCAGCAGATACCCGTCGTTCCTCAAAGCTAAGGTTGGACTGCAAACTCTTGTTTTTACTAATTAGACATTTATTAATGACATTTGCTGTTAATTATCCAGGCTCATTGGAGTCATTCTGTAGCAGGCAAAAACAAACACAGGAGCATATACATAACCCAGATGTAAAATGAAAGTCACTAAAGAAACAGTGGCAGCAGACGCTAGTGTCAAGGTAATGCTTAATGTAAGGTTATACACATAGATAAAACAGTTTTCTTGAGACACATCCAGTCAGGCAGTTTCATGACGAAATCTGAACCAAACGTCCTGTGTTTCACCACAGCTCAGACGTCCTCAGAGAGAGGACTTTGCTCACAGAGCTGAACTGCATCTATCTCAGTGGTTAACACTTTTTGTGCATGTGTGCGTCATCAGGTGTTGAGAGACAAACGTACAGGAAAAACCAAAGGCTACGGCTTCGTCAGCTTCAAAGATCCAAACGATTACGTCAGAGCCATGAGAGAGATGAACGGTCAGTCACACACTAAACCTCTTTCTCCTGTTTACTGGTTTATTCTTCCGATGTGGATTTGTCATATTTTACATTTGGATGTTCCTTGACGTAGAAGTGGAGTTGGTGCCTTCCTGCTGTAACTGATAACCTCTGATTCTTCCTGTTTGTCTTGTTTCCATGTTGGGGGTTAAACTTACTGATGAATAACTGAATCCCTCTCACTCTGTTTGTCCAGGGAAGTATGTGGGTAGTCGGCCCATCAAACTGAGGAAGAGCATGTGGAAGGACCGCAACATTGAAGTGGTTCGAAAGAAACAGAAAGAGAAGAAGAAACTGGGCCTGAGATAGTGTCTATACCAGTAGGACTATATGTGTGTTGTGCTTTTAAGCAGACGGGCACCATTATGTGAAAGAACAACTCTTCTTTTGATTTGTCCATGTTAACTTTTTTTTTTTGCTCTCATCAAATAAAAACCATAATTTCTATCTGTTGCAGTTCTTGTGCCCATTGAACTGATTGTGATTCTCATTAGAACTGGAGGTCTCTAGCACCTCCCTCAGGGCAGTAGTGAAAGTATTTAAGTCATCGGTCTTTTTTCCAGTAGTTCCCTACTTTTCTTGTTTTTGATCCCCTAAGACCACAAACACATGGAGGACATGAGGCTCCTGTTTGCCTCAGATTGTGCCTGTGGAGATAGACTGACATGAACTGATGCAAGTATCCAAACAAAGACTTTCCTGTAACAGAATATAGAAATCACATGGTGACAGCAATTATAAATAATAGCTTTTAGTACCAACAAGGCTTTATTTAAAGTGCAAGTCACATCAGTAGGTAAATCAGACGTACTGGGACGCAATAAAGATGATTCAACACATAAATAAAAACTCATGATGAGTAGAATAAGGCCAGGAACAGAAACTGGTGCTCGGCCGTCACAATGCATGTATTAAACAACCTGTCCTTTTATTTGGAAACTGCAGTATTAAAATACAATCTTATACACAGGGGTACTGGAGAAATAGGACTTTTTATTTAAGTGTCTTTACTGACAAGTCATGATGCTTATAAGACATACAACAAGCTGTGTCTCAATTAGGGGCTGTGTCCTTCTGAGGACGCGGTCTGCCCAGCCCACAAAGACCACCTCCTCCTTGAGACAAGTTGACCGTGAAGGCTGACCCGAAATGAGAAGGTCTGGTCTAAAGAGACTTATTGCTGTGTGTAGCATTAGCTGTTAGGTTAAGTTGAAGCATGATACTCAAGTGTTGGATGTTTTGCTGCTTGTAGTAGCCATCACCTCTTTGAAAAACTGTTTGTCACTGAAGCGCAATGCATCCAGGGATAGGTTTGACTGGGGAGAATGCACACCTTGGCCGTTTTGTTTCTAGGGAATCGCAGGAAGCATTTGTCGGCTGCATTCTGAGGAGCCTTTGAAATGGGACTGTCTTGTTGCGCTGCTGAGACGCAAAAGGTCTTAAAAATGCAGCATACGAAGAATGCAGCCCCTGACAGGCAGAAGGCATTATGGGTAGGAAGATGATGGATGCTGGCATGTGAGTGATAATGGCTGTCTGCCCACTGCACAAAGCATCCACCTGGTGAGGTGCTGCCTACGGCATCAAACCTGAGTCCCCAACAACTCCTCCACAGCGGTCCGTCCACTGAAGATGACATCATTCACTGACACGCCATCGTAGCAGGAACCAATCAGAGACAGCGAGAGATTATTCTTCCTTACGAAGCTACGCATGGACTCTGTAAAGGCAGACAGACACTCCTTATGTTTCACTACAGCCTGAAAACAAATAATCTTAAGATATGATGTAGAAGTCAACACTCACCAACTCTCCGGTAGTGTCCTTCATAGTACTGAGGTATACAGTCCTAGTGAGAGAAATACAGCAGAGATGTCATCACTGTTACAACAACCTACAGGACAGCTGACATGCAGTGTAAGTCAAAGACCAGGGGACAGGAGCCAGTGGACTGTGCAGTGTCTTAAGATACAATGAAGAATGAATGAAATAGTGACAAGAATTTGTGACTGGTCTGGAGTTCATGTTTGAATCCTGTCCTGTCTTACCCTTTGTAGAGCCACCCAACTCCACCTGGGTGCTGCGGTGACTCCCAGGTGACAGTGCACCGCCTCTGTGGCTCTCGCTAAAAGACGCTCCTCTGTCACTGTGTCTGGGGCCCCGAACTCTTCCTGGAACCAGGCCCCGCCCATCATCACCTAGACGACACAGTCACATGAGCTTAGGTCGGAGGTGTGGACTCACCTGACAACAACATGGTTCACTGCAGAGAACACACACGGCTCTGCCCCTCTTCAGCTGCCACAATCAATATTATAAAAATTATATTATCAACAATATGGGTCAAATGATTATGTGTGAGGCTAAATGTGAGACACAGATAATCATTGGAAACCTTGAACTTTTAACTCATGGTTTTGGTTTTCCTGCCTCCACCACTTATCTCTAACACACAACCACTGCTTCATGTTTAAACAGAGAACTTTAGGAAATAATATTCCAAAGGAAAGCAACATAAAACTGCTCCACAGCTGTGTGTGTGTGTGTGTGTGTGTGTGTGTGTGTGTGTG